CAGCACCGCTCATTAATCACCACACAGAGGCCAGCGCTTCACTTTTACCACCGCAGACGTCAACAAAGCAACAAAGTGCACCACCCATGATGGTATGACGGTGGGCGCTGTCAGCGAACAGATCGTTCAATGCGATCCGGTATGTTGAGTCTCCCTGCAAAGTGTCTTTATCTGCCAAATTGCATTGAAAATGTTGTTTTTCTTCTTTGATATAAAGGTCCGAATGGCATTGTGTGAAGTCTTCTTTATCGAGTCGCACAAAAAAGTCCTTTTTCATTACTCATGCATTCTATAACCACCCAATTCAAAACATACCACAAGCACATCAGCCAAGCAAGAGCCCCCTTATATATCTATTCAGATTTTGATTACACATGGGTTTAGTGATCCGATGTAGATCATTAAACACAGATTTGGAAAACTGTCGCTGGTTTCCACTATGAAAAAAAAGATTTATGAGAACAAAAAGCCACAGAAATGTTCCGGTTTCACTGTTTGCAAAGACAAGGAATGAAGTTTGGAGAGTTTGACTTCCCAGAATTGTGAGGAGATGTAGTGGATGTACTTTCAAACTGTTGAATCATATCATATTGAAGGTTAACTGTAAAATATATTAACGTCTTTTCTGTCTTTTACAGAAAGGTCACGGTGTTCCGCTTGTTATCTTGGAGAATTTACTGCAGGAACATTTTACCAAAATTAGAATCCAGAGAACTCAGACTGGTCTGTGCACAAAGTATCCCTGATCATGACTGCTTTTAAAGGCTGATGTTTGATTTCAAGTTGTGAACTGAAGCGTTTTATCTCCAAAGATTTTGTAGCACAAAGCTTTTTTTCCCACATTTATTGCAAATGGAGCTGTTGTGGGAACAAGTGCCTGGTGTTTGAGGACATTTCAGAAGATGGCTCATGACAGGAAAAGTGAATGGAAAAAATGTACACGAGAAGATGAATGCCTGAAGCAAGCCAAGCAGTAGAGACAGTGCACGCTAACATGTGCATGTGTGTGAATAGGTACAGAGGCCGGCTTCCCAATCACTGGAGTGCTTTTTCTCCTTTATACTTTGTACATTTCATGACACCACTTTGTTCTAAGTGTTCCTCTCCCTCCAACTCCCTAAACCCCGACAATTAAACCCTGACACAGATCATAAATTGTTACAAAACAACCTAATTGTGTTGGCTTTGCTCATCTCCGGTTGCTCTGCTCTGGAGGCAGATACTGCTGATGCCTTGTGTTAAGTCGTTGTCTTTGCTGCCCTGTTTTACTTTGATGTGGTGAAAGAAACAAAGATAAAAAGGGGAATTCATAAGCTTGCATTTCAACGTTTTTAGAAAGACAAACACCACCACACACCCACACACACACACACACACACACACACACACACACACACACACACACCCACAGCCTTCATGTTTTAGTGTGCACAATGGAGTTTTTACCAGCTACTGTCATTGGTTTGCAAATCTTCAAGGACATGCAGCAGACCCAACACGAGTATTTATAACAGAGGGAGACTGTTCATCATTCATTCATTTGACCTCATTTGAATACTGATAACAGAAGAAGAATTACATTTGTCCAGCATTTGTGAATATTGAGTCAGGAGAACTTTATTATCCAATTACCCATTGTATGTGTGTAACCATATTTTGACCTGAAAAGTCAGGGGATCACCAAAGTCTTTGGAAGTTTTAGTTTAGGGGAACATAACGTGTGCACCACATGTTATGGCAATCCATACTGTAGTGGTTAAGAGACGTTTCAGGCAAAACACAATATGTCAACCTCATGGTGACGCTGGAAGAACAATCAGGGGATCCAAAAAGTTACGGCTTGGTTACAGTTTGTATCTTGTGTTTATTGTGGCATTTTATTTCTCGCATTATTGTTCTGTTGGACGATATTAAACGCGTCACTATAGAGGCGCTGCTAATGCCTCTTATTATTATCTCTGCCTCAGCATTTCCCCAAAATGTTGAAATCTGCATTGCATCACTGAATGAACTCTATGTTACTGTATCAAAGAACACTGATTAACGATCGTACTTCTTCGTTGTATTCAAACAGAAAAATCAGCTGTGAACTTTGACCTTGTATTTTGCATTGCCCAGAATGGATGACCACGATGAGTATTTGTGGATTTCAACATCGTACAGTTTTGTTATTTTTCTCAGCACAGTGAGCTCTCTCTCCCATCTTTGCAGAGTTTGATACACACAGTAGGTACAACAGAAACCAAATATTAGAAATGACCTTTGAGTTCCAGCCAGACAGTCAGACGGCAGTTTTTTAAACAATTTGCACTACGAGGAGCGTGTGTTTCATCAGAGGAAAGCAGCTGAATTACTTTCTGTCTTTGACAGCATGTTTGTCTCCTCTTCTCTCGGCTGAATATCCTCATGCAAACAGTCCACTGTTTCATTTCGTTTGTGAAGCGCCCAGACAGATAGCGTGTGGCTTTCCACTCATAATAGCCAGCATCTCGTTAAAACGTCAGTGAGAAATGCACAAGTACACGACCACCAGAGGTTTGCATGATGTCATCGCTTGATTGAAAATAGCACCTTGCACTTGCACTTACTGGCACAGGCTTAAATATCCTTCTTCTAGAAAACAAAAATCAAATATTAGAGAGCAAACCAAACTGCTGTCAAATTCAGAGCAACTCAAACGACAGGAAATACTCGATCTCTCTGAAATACAGGCATCTGCTCTGCAGAAAGTTTTAGCAAAATGGGTCGATTAGAGGAACCGTTCAACAGTTGTGGTGGGGGACTGTTGGGTGTTGAAGCCAAGATGAAATACTTGTGTGCACATGCAACAAGAAAAGACTTTTCTTCAGTCTTACATTTCAAACTTCAGGAAAGATAGAGATCTTACTCTCAAATGATTCCAATCTGAGGAGCTCCTCCATCTCAGCGTGCTTCAAAGATCATCAGGTATGCAGTCTGGTGGTTTTTTTTACTTTGTGGTCAGTGGAAGAGAAGGAGGGTGTAGATGGAGCCTCAACCCCATAAACCCCAGACTTAGTATTGGAAGAGCAGGTGGGCTACAGAGGCCAAATGGCACCATAAGAGCAATTGATGAGGAAAATGGGGGCAACAGGGTCTCGTTTCAGAGCCGGAGGAAAAACACACATGGCGGCCAAACACTTGATTGTTGCACTTAGAGTCTAAATGGGCACCGAGAAAGGAAGGCAATCAGACAAATAATTGTCTCTTTAGTCCAAGAGCAGCACACACTGAAACATGCCTATTCTGATGTGCCGATAAGATATATGACGCCAATATAATAGAAAGCAGTTTAGTACAGCACTGACTTCCTATGCTGTCTATTCTGTCTGAATTCCTTCTGTGGGTTTTGAAATCAACATCAGTCTGGTCAGAGATCAATGTGTATAAATTCACAGTTAAATTCTCGGTTTGTTTTTTACTGTGATATGTCTGTTAGAATAAAAGAGGCCAATTCATTTGTAATAATATCCAACTGGTTGGATTGCCTTGAAATGCACGAGCTTAAATTCATGTGAATCCGAATGACTTTGATGACTTTCCTCTAGCGCCACCTGCGTTCTTTCAGTGTCTTTTGTCATTTTATGCTTTTATTAGAGAGTCAACAGCACAATGAGGGAGACATAAGGAACGACATGCCAACAAACTTCTTCAGCAACTGTTGGACAGATAGCCATACAATGTTATTCATGGTTCCCAGAGGACGAATCCAACCGACTTTGGTAATCCTCCGACGTCTCCTCTCGCGCCACCATGAGGTTGACGTTTCTGAGTGACATGTTTCAACAACTATGAGACGGATTGCCTTGAATTTTGGTGGAAACATTTGTGTTGTGCCATGTTCGGATCTGCAATTTCCCCATCACTCTCAGCAGTACTTTGTGTCTAGTGTGCTAATTGACAAATGTTAGACGATGGCAAATATGCTAAACGTTATACCTGCTAAATGTCACCAAATTAGCGTTGCCATTGTGAGCATGTCAGCATGCTAACTTCAGCAAAAAAAGTGGTTTTATGTTCAAACTAATTTTTTTTTACTTATTACACTGTTGCGCAACAGTACCATTCCTGCAGGTGCCTCTTTTTCAAACAAAAATGTAGTCAAATGATATGTCTGCACCCACCCCCACCCTCTTCCCTGTGAACCAGCAGACATGTTGCTCTTACCCTGTTTCCAAACCTCAACTTGTGAAAGAATGTGTCCAGCTGCTGCCAGCTCCCTGAAAAATGAAAACAAACATGAGCACCTGTCCCCAGTCTGCAGGAGAGCACCACAATTAGAAATACACCGCTCCTCATTCATGGTTTCAATCTGTCAATCAGACATATTTACATGTTTTCCTTAATGCAGTTGCAAAAACCTCACAGTCCTTGACGAACATCTGGAGCTTTCATCAGGAATAATATGACTTTTTCACAGTTTTCTTATGAGTTTCCATAACATCTGATAATTCGACCAAAAATGCTTTTACTAAACTCTAAATAATAATGCCACCAAGGTCATTTATTTAGAAAACTGAAATAGCAACCCCCTCTAACAGCAGACTGATCCTCTAGGCACTGGATCTCTTTGGATAATTGATACCACGCAGAGGTTATTTTGAGCACAGAATTGCGCATCAAACAGCAAAAATAAAAGAAGTATGAAAGTGGATCTATTAACGTCGATCCATGCTGCAGAAACAAAAGGCCGAACACTGTCTTCACATCATGTCACACGGAAACATATCCAATCCATAACCTTCTGTTTCATAACAAAGTCAAGGTGTCTTTAAACATTTGATGTACACAAACTCCTAAAGACAAAACGGGCCAATTCGACATCTGACCAGATCATTTCTTAGAAATAGGTGACACGCATAAAGTGCGTAACGACGTGTAAACAGAGCGCTGCGCCGCAAAGCGCAGGACAGCGGATGAGACTTGACTCAGGGGGGCAGAGCAGAAGCAGAGACGCCCTCACAGACTGAAGACACAGAGAATATAAAACGTGACTCGGTACTTGAGTGTCAGTGGGGATTCTTCGTTACGTTAAAGCCACCATGAAAGAACCGGACAGATTCAGCTATGGACAACACTCCGCAGAGGACATCGATGCATTGGACTTTATCAAAAGACAAAATGATCTGTTTGTGGACTTTGCTGAAATAGTTTCATAGACCCTGTTTGTGGAGTATCTCTGGATATCCGACGAGGAAAGCTATTCTCTGGTTGTTGAGCTGGACCGAGAAGGATATCTGAACTGTAAGGTGAGACATTTCTTCATTTCAAAGCTAAGGATTGAAAAAAGAATGAGGTCGTTTTTGGCTGAATTCAAGATTGCATCTTTGTCAAAAAAATATGACAATTATTTTATAAATAACTTTTAGACTTCATTATTACTGTTATCATACATTTCCTGTTCATACTTTCTTTAACGCTACTTTAATGCAAAATATTCTGCAAGGTGCAACAAAGCGCAAATCCGCCATCTAATGGCTCATCTTCCACAACTAACAAACTCACGAGACATTAAGGACAAAACATAAAGTTTATTCTCTAATCACTCTAACAACCGTTCTGATGTCAGGGTCCGTGTCAGCTTTAGGTTTTCTTTCTTTAAAAAACACTTTATTTACATTCTTAGTGAAATCATATCATCTTTGCATAATGATACAACAAATAAAAAGTAATAAAATAAATAAATAATAAATGGACAGTAAAATAAGTTAAGAAAATAAATAATCAAAACAACAAAAGCAAATAAGATACATCCTACAGCTATTAGGTTTTCTATACATGATTTACGTCAGACTAAACTCCATATTGTAAGAAAAGAAATAACTCTATTTATCCAGAATAAATGTGATGAAATAATCAGATGTTTACTATATATTGTAATCATATCTGCAGTTCCCAGTAGTTGCCTTGTAAGGTCACAGTATACAACATTGCTCAGCCGTAGTGTGTTTTGATCTATTTCTCTTTTTAATGACCTGTTTGACCTCCAGCCAAACTAAACCTGAGTGATCAGAGTCTCTCCATCATGTAACACTGCAGCTCAGACAGTTGCCGTGATGAGGTCGTTCAGGCTGGACACGCAGCGTTGAAAAGGACCTGCAGGCTCAACAGAGATATTAGCAGCAGATTTGTGGGGAGACAAAATAAATGTTATAGGTCAGATCTTCAGTCATCTAAGAAGTTATGTTAATCTCTTTAAGTTATTCAAAGTCCCCACATCTTAATATTAAAAGGTACGAGGTAATACACATACGTAAGGGTTATGAATTGAATGCAAAGACAATTTAAAGTTTCTTAGTTTGAGGCCACAGCAGCTTCAGTGCTTCTTGTGTGTCTGGGGGGTTGAACACCATTCTTTCAAAATAAGTTTCCTCATTCGATGTTTTGTTGTTGGTGGTGGAGAGCGCTGTCTAACATAATGCTCCAAAATCTCTCATATACAGTATGTTCATTTAGGTTGAGATTTGGTGACTGCGGCCATATCATACGATTGATATCATTATATTTGCATCAAACCATTCAGTGAATACTTGTTCCCTGCATGAAAACATCTGCATTCATTATTTCTTCACTCATTTCTTCAGGAATTTTCATATATATGTGTGGCTTTTGCTGTTTTTAATAATACTTCCATATCATCGAGTTACCAGTATTTTATTTATGTTGATCCACAGCTCATATGCTCGGTACACATTTGATCCTCTTTCGCTTGCAGCCTCCCTTAACTATGAACCTCTTGACCCTCAGAGTTCAGTGATGTTAGCTTTGAGCCACTACAACTCCTCAGTCTCCCCGCTACTCCCTCGTTTCTCCAATGACAGCGGAGGGAAGGTGGAGGCCAGGGTGGTTGTTGAAGGTCTGTCGCAGCAGGGAAACCACACCTTTGTGCAGCCCACCACCAGCGGCATCATTGTCGTCATATTGTCCATGACACTGGGCATCATCTCCAACATCGTGGCTCTCTTCATCCTGGCCAATGCCTACTCTCTCCAGCGCCGGCGCACCAAAGCCACATTCCTTCTGTTTGCCAGTTCACTGGTGGTCACGGACTTCATCGGCCATGTGATCCCTGGTGCCCTGGTTCTCCGACTCTACCTCTCTGGAGGTGTGCACCCCGACGACTTCAACGACTCTGATGGGATGTGTCAGTTCCTGGGTGGCAGCATGGTCTTCTTTGGCCTGTGCCCACTCTTTATGGGCAGCGCCATGGCGGCTGAGCGCTGCCTGGGTGTCACTAAGCCGCTGCTGCACTCATCCCTGGTCACCAAAACCCGCACAAAGATCTGCCTGTTTGTCATCTGGCTGGCAGCTCTGTGCGTGGCCATGCTGCCGTGCTTTCAGCTGGGCTCTTACACCTACCAGGACCCAGGGACCTGGTGTTTCATTAAAGTGCTCAGTGACACTCGGGAGGTGGATTTGGCGTTTGTGGTGCTGTTCTCTGGACTGGGTCTGACCTCGCTGGCCGTGGCGCTGGTGTGTAACACCATCAGTGGGGTGACGCTGGTGCTCGCTCGGCTCAGGAGGCAGCCGGGCTCCCATCATTCAGCCAAGTCCCATGACATAGAGATGGTGGTGCAGCTGGTCGGCATCATGGTCACCTCCTGTATCTGCTGGAGCCCTCTGCTGGTGAGTACACGTCCTTGTACAAGTACAAGGAGAGCGAAGCATGCAGTCAGGTCAAAATGACATCACCTGTGAGTTTCAGTACCAATACTACCACTATTAATGAGTATGCCTGGAAAATATTTAGTTTGTCCCAAGACATAGTATGTCTAATGCAGCATGCCAAAAAATACCAGGATGTTCTTCTGCATCCGGTCGCATTGTGCAGTATGCAAGCCAGCATGCTTTTCTGGCTATTCTGACCCACAATCCTCTGCACAGCGGGTACATGAGCACGATGGCCAAAGTTCCAGGTGCTATGCTTTGATGAAGTAGCATGTCTAGTTGAATGCATACTGCATGCAACAGTATGTACTTTATAAGGGCAGCTGCAGTATGTACTATAAGAACAAGTATGTGATTTGGAAAGCAGTGCACATCGCCTTTCTTCTATAAATACACCGGCAGTCTGAGAGCACTCATTTGGTTTGCATAAATAAACGCATTATAAAACATGTTAGCTTAGCAGCTAAGCTAACATGTTTGTTATTGGTACAGATCGCTATCAGCTTTAGAAATGGTGTCAGGTCAATATAACAGCAATAGTTCACTTACAAAGTGGTTTTTCACTGATGTAAATGATTAAAGCTCACCTCAGGACTGTGAGCGTCTTAGTTAGGACTGTTAGGACGGGACACTTGAACACCTTTCTTATTGGTGCTGAAAGTTTAGTGACCGCATGTAAAGTGCTCTGATCAGCCAGGTAAGTGAAATCTCCTGTGTGGATGTGCAGGGACTTCAAGTCATTCAGTGCCTACATTTTTGGACAGGATTATCTCCCAGGATTATGTCACTTCATGAGAGAGCAAAATTAGCACCAGATTTAAAATATCGTTGTCGTTTAAAACAACAACAACATACGACGGTGGTTTGTAGCAGCTGGATCTCGTATGTAACGTAGCCTCTGCATTAGCACACTGATAAGGACCAGAGAGATGTTCAGCTTCTTTATTTTCTCTCTCCACTGTACTTGGTGGATGAACAATCGTAAAAGACAGCGACTTGAATAGACCTGAACAATAAATAAAAAATCTGTTCTGGTTATTCAAAGCAGTAATAATGATAACAAATACAAATAATGGATCCAGTGTACAATTAACAGGAAGAGAGTGTCTCATAGAAATGAAATATAAAAAATGAAAATCTATTTCTATAGAGTGTGTAACAAACTCTGATGGCAGATTCTGCTGCAGGCTCCTTCAGATACCTTCAGTATTAACAGAACCATGAAGTCTTCTTCTGAGTATCAGCTTAATGGGGTCAAAAGGGTCAGTTCCAGTATACCTGATCCATCTACCATTAGACCACCTTCAGGGCCCATGAACACTCCTCTTGATTCATGCACTCTCTGCCTCGCCTGCAGCTGTGTGTGTGTGTGTGTGTGTGTGTGTGTGTGTGTGTGTGTGTGTGCGTGTAGCAATCACTTCATTAGTTCAATGGATTCACACTAAAAACAATTGTTATTTACAATTTAAACTGTCTTACATGTGATTGAAGTAATCACATGACGCATCTTTCTCCCTCACATAATAGTAGCTGTTAATAATATAAGTATTGATATAAATATTGGTGATCCTGCCATGTTATGACATTGTTATTAGACTCTAGTAATAGCAGCATTAAGGGCCAGTTTTAATCCTTTTGTAACCAAAAGGAAAAGCTGAGCCTCACCTGTTATCATTCAGGTGTGTGGCTTGTTGGGTGACCCGTGTCCTTGCTGATATGGATGCAATAATAATATTTAATGTGATAATGTAAAAACTATATTGGTGTATTCATGTCACAAAGAATACCAGACTGAGGGTGCTCACCCATCTACTGCTGTGTTTCACAAAACAAGCCAGATCGCTTTAAGAACTAGTTTGTTCTTATTACTGAAGAAAACAGTTATTTTTGAGTGATTATAGCTTTTCTATCTGTGCAGTGTGTTTGCTCGTTCTTCGTTTAATAATTGCGAGCACATGTTTCTTGCAGATCTTTGGCCTGATGTCGGTGATCCGCTCCTACGCAGGATCTACAGGAGAGGACTTGTCCAGCTACAAAACCCTGATGGTGATGGGCGTGAGGCTGGCCACGTGGAACCAGATTCTCGACCCCTGGGTCTACATCCTGCTGCGCCGCACTGTCCTCCGCAAAATCTACCTCATCGCTAAGTGCCAGGCAGGACTGAGGGGTAATAAAATCGGCCGCTGGGAGCCCACCTCCTTTCAAAGCTCAGAGAAGAATGTCAACCAGGTGTGAGCTGAGAGAACGTCTGATCGAGTGTTTTAAAGAATGTACTTTGTAACCAGGTCATTGAACTGTTGAAGGACTCACCTAATAAAGACGTTGAGAAGGAGAGGCCAACAGAGAAGCATGTTGGAGGAAATGAGCTGTGGCTGCGACGGTGGAGTAGCAGTTTGACGTTCCTCAGCTGGTCCGCTCTGGAAACACTTTGTGGATTAAATCAAAATATCTCTTTCATGCCGTTCTTTCATCAAAGTTTACCAGTGACTTCATCGTCTGACCTTTCAAATGGAAGCTAGCTATTGCTATGATTTTGCACATAAACTGTCTATTGCTTACTAATAGTGAGTGAACATTCCTTATTGTTATTCTCATTTTAAACTCATGGTAAAGGCAGAGGTGTGGGCCACAGTATCACCACGCTCTGTCCTGAGAGACTCTAACGTTTGTAACGCGTTGGAAGTGAAAGATAAACAGTTCGTGGCTCTAACATCAGATACATGGAGAAGAACGGAGCTCCATCAATGTAACCACCAGAGGCAGTATTTAGATTGTAATCATAATGTTCATTATTCTGCTGAATGTATTTCATAAAGGAATGTTAATATTCAAATATTGTGGAGTGTTTGTTTGTTTAAGTGTAAATAGGCTTTCCATGTGTTTATACAGTGCTTTGTGTGAAATAACGTAAGATTGTATGAGTTAATACTTGAATTGGATACCCTCAATTTACAGAGGATATGTAAATAACTTTAAATTGAATGTAAATAAAACAATGCAATGTGACCGTACTCTGACGTTGTGCATTTATTTTTGACTAGATATCTGTTCCTCAAATTTCCTGACAAATACGCTGAGAAGAGTGAAGAAATATGTTGCACTACAGACAATGTTAAAGTTATAAAACTGTTATATATTTTATAATTATTCTGGTAGCTAAGCAGTGTTTTAAGTGTGAACTCCCATAAACACCAGTTGTATTCATTTGATCCGTTTCAGAGTCAGATGGCAACAGATAATTGTGCGTTCCAGTACTTCAGTGTTATCTGCTTTCTTGAGTATCAATGATACAGATCTGTTCTTGGGTTGTTCATGATTTCACTCCTGAGGGCAGTGAGATCTGCAGCAGGGACTTCCAGCTGATTCATTCTGGACTTCACTTGAGATGAAAATGATGATGAATCAATGACTGTCCTCAAAGGTCATGTGGACAATAACATAATGAACCAAGAAGGATGATGAGCAGATCTTTTTGATTCAGGCTGAATTCAGTTGCTGTTTCATGTGAGCTGTTTCCTTACAGGCGATAAACTATGACTTTAGACGAGGTGCAGGGCTTCAGTGAAGTACTATTATTACCAGCTTCCTGTTTTATCTGTTTCCTCCCCTGCGTCATCTCTTTCCAACCACATTTGTGGCAGAAACATTGATTCCTTCCTAATCCACATGCCTGGCTGACCTGGAAACAGGTATATGTGACTCACTCTGAAGTGCTCGTTTAACACTGTGCCGGTGTGTCACACGCACAGAAACATCCTGCGTTCTGTTCAACACCTGGACCATGTGTTATACAAATAAATGTGTAAGCCTACACTTTAAATAGACAAAAATACATGCACCTGTGTTATTTACAAAAGGTTACCAGGTAGTATTATGCACATGCAGTATTAGTATATGCAGTACAGGTGCGAATATGTTAAGGTTTAAGTAATTGCTAGTTAAAGTCTTCTTTATATCAGCGTGTGACCCTCTCTATCACAGTAGGTGGCGGCGTGCACCTCAAAGTCTATGTTTGTAGCTCACGGCCAGTAAAAACCAAAGAAGAAGAAAAATAGACGTCATCCTCAGGCCTAGTGACCCTTTGATGGTCGGTAGCTAACGTTACGTTACCGCGAAAAGGTCTTTTTCACTCGCTCGTTGTCAACGGTAAGCGTCAACTACTCAAGCAGATCTTACACAGACGTCAGGGGTGTCGACACCTCTCATGACACGTTTACAATGACTGCGCCGACACGCTGGCTAACGATAGCTCGCGAGCATCAAGTGGGCAGTCAGTGCTACAAACATTGACGCTAAGCTAACTGACGTTAGCTTTCTGTCGCAGTACTGTGGTTCAACACAGCATATTAGGATGGGCAGGTAAATCACGGGACCGTTAGGCAGCTGTGTGAGATGGCCTGTGTTCATTCGAGGCGGACTAAACTACCGACACTGATGCACACGCTGCTCAGCCCCGTTTGTATCCCGGAACTGATTGCGTAACGTTAGCTTGTTAGCTGTCAGCAGACCCGCATATGTTAATGCCATTTATTGCCCGCCATTTGATTACACACTGCCAATGATCTACCATTCACGCGCAGACTAACAGGTTGTTTTCTTCTGAATAGGGTGCTAGCTTTCGATCCGAAAGTCGTGACAGCATGGCGGCCGCTGCAGAGCAGTGGGACGAGCACCAGGCGTACGACGAGCTGCTGTACTGGGACAGCCTCATCCAGCAGGGCCACCGCCTCCTCCCGCACGACTTTGACAGGTAACGTAACGCACAGCGCGTGGGGAAGGCTTTCTGCTCAGCAGCCCTACATTCAATCACAGATAAAACATAGATAAAGAAGAGATAAAAAGCAAGGCAATTTAATTTGATAGCCACTTAATGATATGCTAACTATGTACTTTATATTAATGTACATATAACAAGTGAAATGTGCAAGAGAATACAACCACGTTTTTAATAAGTTAATAACAACATAGTGAAAAAAGCTAAAGCAGTCGAACACCACAAGTACACACACACATTAATAGTTTTAAATCTGAGAAATAGAAGTTTTCTGTTTGCTTCGGGTCGATGGAGCCTTGAAGGGTCTTGCTAAATGTTCAAAGTGATGATTGTCGTGTTACTGCATTGTTGAAGCACCTGCTGGAGCTCGATTCAGAGCCGTCCTCATTTTAGTGATTTCCTCTCTCCAGATACGAGGATCTGCGGTACTGGTACGACTGCCTGTGCTACGAGGAGGAGCTGAGGCAGTACCACGACTACATCGCTGTTATCGAGGAGATTGAGGACCATCGGCACCATGAGGTTCTTGTTTCACCTATTTAAGCCCCCCACACAAAGACTTGATCATTTATAGGCTTTTTAATTTGAGTCACTTATTCTCCTCACTAAGACTGAGCATCTCATTTTTTCCAGTTTCTTTTGCACAAGATTGCTCTTCCTCTCGCACGAAAGCACTATTTGGTGCATGTTTCTTTTTTTCCAAGTGCTTTTAAAAAAACAAACATGCACTTCCTAACTGTTACTATTAATATTTAAACTTCCTATTTTTACTTATTGTATGAGATTGGAATACATCCAAGTAGCAAAAAACTGATTGAGGAACGCCAGAACTGCTTTTGTTGAATAGACCTATATTCTAAGTTATTTCTGTAATACATAGATTATGATTCCAGTATAAACAAAAGATAGATTTTCTCATCTACACTCTTGTTCTTTTCTCTAACGTTAACCTTTTCTTATTCTCATTTCCCAATTAAGGAAGCTGCGGTCCCACAGGTGCGCACGGGGCCACATGATCGTCACGTGATGGCTAAACACTCTGAAGTGTATCCTTCACCAGAGGAGCTGGAGGCGGTGCAGTCCATCGTCTCCCGCGTGGAGTGTGCCCTCAAGACTGTGTCCGACCAGATGGACACTCCGAAAGATAGCAAACAGAATGCAGAGCCAGGGAGGTGAGCAACATGTCCAAATGGGCTTCGGCAGTTTAACAAGTTTATCAAGTGTTCAAAATGAGTCTTTTTACTCCACAGTCCTCTCTCTTTATGTAAATAATTAAGTTATTCTTTTCTCCTCTTCACTATGAAAGTGGTGACTCACAAGATCGTGTCCTGCGTGGAGTTATGAGGGTCGGCCTGGTGGCCAAGGGCCTCCTGCTGACGGGAGACAAGGACTTGGAGCTCGTGCTGCTTTGCTCCAACAAGCCGACCATCGCTCTGCTCAATCAAGTGGCTGAAAAGTTAACTGCGCAGTTAGAGGTAGAACTGAGTACCTACATTTGTTTTACGCCATTCTCCATAAACATTTCACAGATTTAAAATTATATTATTGTTGTTTTCTAGATATTCAGACTCCCTCTCTTCGTTCCCTCATGATTTGTTCTTCTTTTATTTAATAGGCAAATTCATCTGGGACATATACAGTCAGCCAGTGTCCAGAGGATGCAGCACTTGTTGTGACGAGCACGAAGGAGTCGGCCCTGACGCTCACTATCCACCTGACATCACCTCTTCTCAGGACAAAGCAAGAGAGTAAAACTGCAGAAGAAGAAAAGGAAAAAGACGAGGGAGAAGAGGAGGAAAAGGAAGAAGAAGGTACGTATGTTGGTTGAGTCTTCATCATCAGCTGCCACAGCCTGATCTGTGTGTCCTCAGTGTGCTGACACTGTACTGCTCCACTGATCTGTAACTCCAACACGACAGATGTTGTCCGTCTTCATCTCATTGACCCTCAGTGGAGCTTGTACAGTGACTGTCTCAGACCGATGCCAGTGATCAACCAATGAACGTTGGCTCTTCACTGACTCCAGAGTCCTGTCGTCGTTGTGGGACAAACTGGCGTTTGCCGGCACTACACTTCCTCTGTAGTCGCTGATGCATTCTGCACGTGTTGTTGATAACGATGCCACAGTCATCACCAAAAAAACAAACACGCTGTTTATTCTTGTTGAATGGTTTTCATGTTTAAAGTGAAGGCTTTTCAAGAATAACAAGTTAAAGCGCGCATTGCATGTCCTTGATGCTGAACATATCAATTTGGCACCAGCTGCAGCAAAACTGATAAATACATATGTGTGTTTATGAAACTGACAATAAGGACATCGAATAGAAACAATCAAATCCCTGTTTGTTTATAGATCAATGTGTTGGTTAGTGGGGTGTTTATGCATGAGATGTATTTATCTGGTAGTCTAAAGCTTCAATAAGATAATCTAAAGGTCGAGGGGAGCGCTGAAGCCCCACCAACAGATCCATACCGGTCTCAGTGCAGTTTTAGTCCATTTACTACACTGCAATTAAAATGGTGTAATAACTGTAAACATGAATTTTGCTGCCACAATCGTTCAGACTTGATCACGTGCAGTGCTGACACTATCCAATGCATTGATTCACTAAGCGACATTACGCTAATTACCGTTAGCAAAGAACCGTGTTCAAACCATTCAGCCGCTGCTCCACTCTGTGACACCGCTGGAGGCTGTTATCCAGCTGATCCCATCGAGTCCACCTCAGTCTACTTCTCCCAGTTTATTTTACATTCATATCATATCAACAAGTTCAGCTTACCAGCGTGGTATTTTTGAAAACGTATATAAATAAAGTGTGTCAGATTAAGTAGGCTACATCTGTTATTACAAGTATTGGATCAGACTCAACATTGTTATTAGTATTATATAATCTAATTATAGTTACTGGTAAACACAGACTCTTACTAACAGATATTACCATAATATCCCTACATTTATGAATAAGGAATGCGTAGTGCAGATAAATATCATTTCAGTTCAATATTACTGTCATTGTGGCTACTGTGCAGCGCTGCTGCAAGCATACTTCACAGTTGGCAATCTGTTTTAAAGTTTTTAATCTGATCTATAATTCGTGCAGAGTGGAAACCAACAGAAGTCTGACCCCTGCTGGGGATAGATCAGTAGAACTGTATTTGAACAAAGCTGGTATGGCCTCTTGTGTTTCCAATCTTTCATAAGGCCATCGCTGTGAGACGAGGGACTCCATCAGTTTTGCTGCAGTGTGGGGCAGACGTGAAGATTATCTAAATGCTTGTGATTTACCTTTTAGTTTGTGAAGTTTTTAGGAACGTTGGACCTTTGACCAACTGGACACGCTGTCTCAGGAGGGGGGAAAGCAGCAAACCCAAGCTGAGAGGCGGAGGGAAGGGGGTGTTTCCTGTAGTTTCCTTAGTGCACACATTAACAACATGCAATACAATGTTGTAAATGTGTCTTTAGGACATATTTTACTTCCACTTTTCACTCACTGGAAAAGTGAGCTGGCATCTGTGACCGGTGACTATTGTTCTCGTTGGGACCAAAGATGTCCACATTGAGTACTTAGGACCCCCTTTCCCCGCCGATGCCGGTTTGGGGAAAGCTGCTACTCCCTGAGCTGCGAGACAGAGCCGCCCCCCTTGGTCAAACTGTACCTTTTCTTCTTACCCCACCTCGTCAATAGCAACGCGAACAGTCAACGATGCGCCGGACGTTCTGGACAGGCAGAAATGCCTAACTGCCTTGGCGTCTCTCCGCCACGCCAAGTGGTTCCAGGTTTGCATTCACGTCCTTATTTGTACATAAGGTTGAGCTATTTCTTTGAATTGTCTCTATTTATTTGTGATTTGGAGACAGTAGGACTTCTGAAATGTGCCCTCAGTTGTTGTTGATGTAGCCCGTAATCCTGTGAAAGAGGAAAGTGAGTCGGAAGTTTCAGAGTTTTCCTCATGACCTCGTGAAGAGTGATCTGCTGATCCATACCAATGACACATTTGGATAAATCATTGGTATAGACGCCAGCATATGAGCTGATTTCTCAAAATGCCCTCTTGTCATGCTGAGCTCTCTCAATATCAGCTGTTTGTCCACAACAAACGGCACGTGGACGAAGCCGTGTGCTCATATCTGTCTGAACAGTTGTTGATTTGGAGACGGTTAAACTGTTCTGACCTGTCTGTGCTTTGTTTTCGGGGGTGGTTTCGTGGAGCCTCGGAGCACAGGGTGGAGGTGGCATCCGAGGCGGCAGCGCCTCCGACTCAACTGGCTTTTGTTTGTGTCTCCAGGCCAAAGTCAACAACCTAAGTTCTGCCGTCCTCGTGATCCGGATCATGAGAGACTTGTGTAACCGTGTTCCTACCTGGACGCCGCTCTCGGGATGGGTGAGCCTTCACATGTCATTTAAGATGTAGTTGTGTATAAACCGGTGCCAGCTCCTCTCTAGCTCTTTAACTCAAACCTTGGATCTTGATAAGTCGTGTCTATACTCTGCGTCTCATCTCCACACAGCCTCTTGAACTGCTGGTAGAGAAGGCTATCGGTACGTCTGAGAGACCAATGGGAGCAGGCGAGTCACTGCGCAGGGTTTTGGAGTGCGTTGCATCCGGAATGCTCTTGGAAGGTGAACCTTTTTATTGAGCTGTAAAACCAGAATGGACGTTTGTACAATGGCATCAACATTAACATGCGTTGTGCTAACTGTATCTGTGCAAAGACGGCCCGGGAATAAAAGATCCATGTGAGAAGGAAACAGTCGACGCCAATTCGTATCTGACTCTGCAGCAGCGGGAAGACATCACGCAGAGTGCTCAGGTAACGAGAGGATACCAAGACGTGCACCAAATCACACTCCTAGTTCTGTGCGTAGTCTCTTACTTTTACATTTTGCTTAGTTTGCCTTGAGGCTGTGTGCATTTGGACAAATGCACAAGGTGTTGGGGATGGACTACAAACCCATAAAGCCACGGAAATCAGCGGGATCCAGCAGCAGAGAAGGCACAGGTACCCGGCAATCTGTGACCGTTACCTGCTTCTGTGCGGTTCACTAAAAGCTTCCACGAAACCTTCTGTTCTTACGCTTGTTTCTACTGTTCCATGCAGCCCAAATACCACCGGCTGGACACTTCAACCTGCCATCCAAGAGACCGTACACAGAGATGGAGAAGGAGGTGGAGGGGCCACAGCTCAACAGCAAACAGAGGAAGTTCCTCAAGTTCCAGAAGCGCTTTCAGAGGAAATCATGTTAGTAATGAATATCCGAGGCCCTGGTGTCGGCGGTGAGCCCTTCTAACTGTGAGATGAGCTGTGGATATAATAACTCCATGTTAACATCCACACAACGTGAGCCTGACATGTTACAGGTGTTATAATATACAACTATATATGTTCAACGATTACACTGAGTGTAATTTAGCTCTTTTTGTTTTCCATCCAGTTTGTACAAATACATCATATACATCCACATGCATTGAGGTGCCAGTTTATTATAACACTGCTAAATCTAATGCAATCTAGGGGTGTCCCCGACTCATTTACATAGTTGAATCTGATTGGTCAAGACTTGCCTATCGTCCAATCAAGCTGCAAACAGCTGTTCCTAAGCGCCTCCAGCTGCTGATTTGAACAGAAAAACATTCATAAATTCTAAATATATTCAGCGCTCTTACACTAGGTTTTTATGTGAGTGCTCTGATTTAATAAATGTATTCTTTGATTTTTAAAAGTCGCCTTATGTTGTCATTTTGCCTTTCTGAGGCTGTCGACAGGAGGCGGCTCCGACGGTCCCACAAATTTGGATAGTACAACTTATGGTGATTTATTCCTGCACACTAAGGACATTGATTGAAAGCACGTGAGTTATTTTCTAATTTGCATTAACGGTATTATTAATAGGCTGATATTTATGCCAGGATAGGCAATGTCATGATTTATTGGGAGAAACTAAACAATACAATCAGACACTCAGCACCCCCGCAGTCAGAATGGAATGATCTGATGTTTAATAACCAGATTTTCCCGCCACTGCGACGATTCAACCGTGAGACTGGCAGTCGAATCGGGCTCTTAGATCTATTCACGGTCACCCCTAATGAAGTCTAATGTCTTAATAAATTGGCAACACAATGTACATAATTATTGGTTATTACAGAGCAGCAGGTTTTTATAGTTTTGTGTATTTCTTAAGTTTTTCAGTTCACTGAACCAGGAATGTGTTGACCTGCTAATACAAACTTGATTATCTTTTGATGGGCGTAAGAAATATGCAATTCTTATTTTTTTAATCACTTTTCTCTTTGCTCGGTTAATCTCCACATTTAATTTCACCGCTCGTGTTTCTGCCGTTTCTCTCCCCGTTCCTTGTTCTCTGTAGTCACAGATGACTTCAGCATGAACGCCGTGATGCGTCTGAACCAGTACAAACCCGGCCTGGAGTACCGACTCATATCTCAGACCGGTCCGGTCCACGAGCCGGTCTTCACGATGGCAGTGGACTTAAACGGGAAGCCCTACGAGGCGACGGGGCCCTCCAAACGAGCTGCCAAACTTAATGTAGCCACCAAGGCAAGCCTTTCGTGTTTCTCTCTCTGCCATGAGTGACTTTAGCACTAAAGCTAGTTTCCTAATCAGCCTGCATGGCATCCAGGGTTGTGTTGTAGCGTCGTGTTAATCGCTTCGTCCTTGCTCTTACTGGCTACAATGACGAACCCAAATTTGACTTCTTTGTTGGTCTGAATTTCTGTTGTAGTTTTAGTGATTGGTTCCCATAGACGTCGAACACAAAAACCAAACCACAGATTGAAGGCATTGACGTTGCTTAATGACGCAACACCTGCCATTGACGTTTCTTCACCGTTGCAGCTCACCGTGTGCCTGAAGGAAGAGATGTTGATGTTTTGACTCCTGTAATTCTCAGGTCTTGCAGGATCTCGGTCTTCCAACGGGCTCAGAATCTAAAGCAGAGTCTGCCGGTGATGTTGAAGGAACCCAGGAATTAGTAAAAGCTGCCAGCGCGGCCTCTTCTACATCAGAAGACGTATGGGTCTCTTTTTTTAAAAACTCCCTTACAATGAAGCCGTCTCTGGCTTTGCTTTCCTCAGAAAGAGGAAATAAAGTGAGCGTGGAGGGTTTGTAGTCACGTGTGTCACAGCCACTGTTTGTCCGTTTGCTTTGAACAGAGCGGTCAGGGTCCTATCTTGACCAAAAAGGGCAAGAACCCTGTGATGGAGCTGAACGAGAAGCGCCGAAGCCTCAAGTACGAACTGTCTGCCGAGACGGGGGGCTCCCACGAGAAGTGTTTTGTCATGGAGGTGAGTCAGCGGTATCGTATGCCAGAAACAAAGACTACAAAGATCATCAAATGATTTCTGTCTTGTGGTGTGCAGTGAACACAGAAGTGACGACACTTGTTGTGTGTAGGTGGAGGTCGATGGACAGAAGTTCAAAGGGAGAGGCTCTAATAAGAAGGAGGCAAAGGCCTACGCTGCCCTCACTGCTCTGGAGAAGCTGTTCCCAGACGACGACACCAACAGAAGCTCTGCAAAGAAGAAGGTCACGTACACTGACATGGTAATTCATCCAGTTGATGGGAGTCTGTATTTGGATGTGGACCATTTTGAGTGAAGGTGGCTCTTTATATGTTGTGTATTGGGGCTTTAAGGTATTGTAAAAGTACACATGCTCACTTAGGGAATCGTTCCTTTTTATCTTAATGTAGAAATGCATCTCTGAACACATCGGTCACAAAAGCACGCTCTTGCCTAAAAGCATTCGCTCTTTACAACAACTCTTCTCGGGTTTCCTGTCCGACAGCACATCCCAGGGTTCGGCACTATCCGCGGCATTCCTTCAGACTCCGGGACTCGTGGCTGGGGTCCCAGCAGAGGTCGAGGCCGGGGCCGAGGCAAACCGTTTCTACCGGGACCCAGATACAACAAGAGTAAAGGCTTTGGCTTTCTCTCGGTGTCGACCTAGTTTAACAATAAGATCCTTTTAAAGTACACTTCATACACCTGTAAAGAAATAACTAAATAGTCATTTCTCTCCTTTTATTTTAAAAGCCAACTACAGCTATGAGGGCAACACTGGCACCGGTTATCGTAAGTGTTCACTCCTCACCTGAATACACCTACATGTTCTCCTCTGTAGTCGCCTTAATATCACATCGGTCTCAAGTTATACAGTTATACCACTGTCATGCCCCCCCCCCCCGGGTTTTTTACTGACTTGTTCATTGCAGTTTGTCATCTCTGCTTTAGATAATCTCTATGGTAATAATGCAGCAAGCGCCGCAGCCAAAGGCACTGGATCAGGCAGCAACTTTGGCTACGGCACCTTTTACCCCGAGGGCAGCAACACCTTCGCCTCCCCGCCCGTCGCCAGCTCCGACCCCAGCGCCCCGCAGGCGGAAAGCTACCAGTCGATGCCTCCTCCTGCTGACCAGGAGAGCCCCTACAGCTACGGTTATGGAGAAGAGAAGAAGAAGATGCTGACCCAAGGTCAGAATGAGGGCCAGGGAGGAGACTACTCCATGTACAGCACAGCTTACCCCAGCTCGGTGACGGGTGGACAAGTGTATAATAACTACGGTGAGTAAAGACGGAGCAAGTTGAAATCCACTTCTGCAATCAAATACACTGCTTCATCTCTTCCTGCTAGTGCTTCTTATGATACATAAATGATCTGTCACTGCATTTATGTCATGTTTCAACATCGTGTCTTAAGAGGAAATGCATCAGATACATAAGTTAACGCCTTCAGGTGTGATGTCACTCTACAGGCTGGGGAAACCAGTCCTCTGGGAATGAGCAGGGATACGGCGCGTACCAGGGTTTCGGAGGAGAGAACCAGGGCGCGTGCTCTGGATACAGCGACATGAACTACTAATCACCACATCGTGTTCAGCCTTCATCACCGCACTTTGCCATTTCTATGTTTTTTGTTGTGTTTTCATCTCACTACTTTGACATCTGCTGAAGAAGGTTGCAGGTCACAGATGCAGGCTTTTGATTAAAAGATACCCGTTCTCTTCCTCAACGTCCTTCGTCATGTCTGTGTTGACATGAGTGTTAAAAAATAAACCATGGCTTGTTTCTAGGGTTGTTGTGTTTTTTAATCTAGCGTACTGGTTCTGTATCAGGTTCTGGTTTATAGTTCTGCTTGTAGCTGTGTCCCATAAAATGCTCAAATATTTCTTGTAAAATAAATTGACTTTTTTTGGAGCAATGTTTCTCAGCATGCGTACGCTAATTCATGCACAAATACAAATTAGCTTAAATTTAGATTTTATTTAATACCTTTTTAATTACTGTGATTGATGGAGCTCTGATATTGAATGTCACAGTTGTTGTTCGATTATGAATCATGTCTTCAGCCTTCAGCTTCCCCTAAAATACCAAAGATATTCCTCACATCGGTGTTACTGGCAATGTTTTGCAACCCGAGCGCTGTGAACAGCTTCTGCAGCGCATGCAGACGCTCCACAGTATCGAGCCAGTCTAGCGTGCACGTAGTATCACCAGGTAGCGTGCGTGGTATATATGTACAGCAGTGTGGCTGGCAGCGATTAGATGAAGCCTCATTGACCCCAGTGAGGAAATGAAGTCATGTAGTTGCAAACATAGATGTGTTCCTCGGGAAGCATATTGAAGCACAAGCACACAAATGTATACGGATATATGTCAAATAGGCCATACACATTGAAGGTGTAGTTATAAGAATGTATGTTTTTTTTCTGAATATATACAAATGAATGAATATTATGAATGACTTGTTTGGAGTACCTCACACGTTTCATATTACCCTTCCATAGAGATTGTGAAAAAAGAATAGTCATAATTGATTTGAGGAGGCTGAGCTATCCTTTTAGTCTGTAGTATGAGTCAAGCTCCAAAAACACTGGGTCCTACATTTCCCATGATGCCACTACCCTGCATCTTCTATGAGACCTTCCTGCCTGAGGGTGCGTTTAACCTGCAGCGGTGGGGATCGCAGGGGACGCTCACAGCCGCACCTCACGCTGCAGTGGCCAATCACGTAACCGACGACCAAGAGCTGTACAACACGGCCATGAGGGGATAAACAACGTTAACCGTGCTTCGTTTGTTCGGTGTTAATGAGCAGTTATCCTGACAAGTGAACTTGGCCATCAACTGTGTAAAGAAAAAGGTGGAGTGCCCCTTTAATCAGGCCTGCACATGCGTGTGAGCAGCACACGTTTTGAACGCTGCTGTCATCTGCATCTTGCATGCTAGATGCTCCTCATCTGGCCATGTAAAGATGCTGGATTCAGGACTGCAAAAAGCAAATTCACAGTTTAAAATTGCACTGCCAATGGCTTCTAGCTGTTCAACAGATAACTATGTGCTCAAAGGTGAGAAGAGGGCAGCGAGTCCTGTTTTCAGTTAAAATGCGAAGATAAGGGATGTTAGAACCCAAGTTTAATAAGACAAATAAAATAAATGAAAAGACTGCTGTCTGTGAGACCACACCATTTGGTCGCCCGGTCAACATTTATCATACTTTAATTTAAGCATTGCTAAAATAAAACCAGAAAGCCACCTCTCTTGTTCCCACATGATCTACAAAGATGAAGGAAAACAGTGATTAACACGGAAGTGGAAGAAGTGGAGTCTGGACACCAGTTATAATAACCATTGCGGATCACATGCGGCCCAGATGACCCTGCCGTCCTAAGACTGAGTCAGGGTGTGAGCAATGATCATGTCCCTGCTGCGTGTCCCGGGGCTGGCCCTCCTGAAGCCTCCCCTCCAGGAATCCTGATAAAAGGCAGACCGGAGGAGCGCTGCGAGGACGGAGAGTGTCCCGGCAGGTCATCCTGAGCTCACCTCACCAGTTATCAGCTGTGAGTGATTTTTTGCTGTTTTTAACTTTGGCTCTCTGACATTATTATCTCTGCACACCGACAGCTACTCTACTCAAGTAGTCCTTCTTGTCAGCCAGCTTTGTTTTCTTTTTGTTGGCAGAAGATAAGAGGCATTTGCAACCTTTGCGTTGTCTCTGTTGAGGCTGATGGTCATTTGATCTGTGAACACAGTTTCTCTTTTAAAAGAGGCCGAGATGCAATTATATGCTTTGACAGACGTGGCGTTGTGACCCCTGACCCTGTCAGCCTGACAGACATGGTTGCTTTGATTAGCTTCTATTAGCTCCAGCTGGGACATGTCCGCTTCAGCCTGCAGCCAATCACAAGGCATCTTCAGGCATAAGAGCAAGCGAGCATGTTGTTGAGAAACAGGGAGGAGAGAGGAAGCATATGCTTGCATGGTACGCTGCAGCTGCAGCTGCAGCTTGTTTCGCTTCTTGTTTCTTTGTTTTGCTTCTTGTTTCTTTGTTTGTGTGTGTCTTGACTCTCATTTCTTGTTTTGACTAAACATTGTTGTGACTTTCTTCATTTTTGCTGTGTTACTTCTGCTGCTAACTGTACATCTGACTTTATTTTAAAGATGGTGCTTACACTGGTATCTATCTTAATTGCTGCCATTCCTGTGGCCTACTGCTATCCTACTGCCTTCCAGGACCTGGTGGATACTAGCTGTAAGTATCACTTCCCATGGGCTTTCATGATCTCTTGTGAATAGAACTATTAAATAACCTATGTGAGGTCTTGCTCTTAAGACTGTCTGCTCTAAGGTTTTGTTTTGTGCTCCCTTACAGCAAACCGAACCTCCATCAAGTTCCTGGCTGTAGGAGACTGGGGCGGGCTGCCTTATCCCCCCTACGTCACTGCTGTGCAGAAGTATACTGCTCGAGAAATGAGCAAAGTAGCAGAGCAGATGGGAGCTGACTTTGTTCTGGCCCTTGGCGATAACTTCTACTACAAAGGTGTGGACAGCGTAGATTCCCCTCGGTTCCAGGTCAGTCGCGTTAACTGGAGGTCTTAAAATGAAGTGATAAAAGCAACATTGTGGTATTTAAAAACCCTGCTTTCTCATCTGAACCTTCTATCAGGAAACTTTTGAGTCTGTGTACACGGCAAAGTCTCTCAAAGTCCCCTGGTATGTGCTTGCTGGCAATCACGACCATGCAGGGAGCGTCAAAGCCCAGATCGAGTACAGCCACAAGTCTGACCGCTGGTAAGGACCCGCTTTAAAATGTTAATGCCTCAAACGGAAACGCTCAACTCTGCTCTCTTCTGTCACACTTCTTTCTTTTTTTTTTTTTATAGGAAGTTCCCCTCTTACTATTATGAGCTGAACTTCCGCATCCCCAACACTGGGAAGACTTTGACCATCATCATGCTCGACACTATAATGCTGTGCGGCAACTCTGACGACTTCATGGATGAGAAGCCTACAGGCCCTCTGCGTGCGGTGGATGCCAACCGTCAGCTGACGTGGCTGCAGGAGAGACTGGCTCGGTCCAAGGCGGACTTCCTGTTGGTGGCCGGCCACTACCCTGTGTGGTCGGTGTCTGAGCACGGGCCCACAGAGTGTCTCCTGCAGAGGCTTCATCCGCTTCTCATCAAATACAAGGCCACTGCTTATCTCTGCGGTCACGACCACAATCTGCAGGTTGGTTCATGCAAAATGTGAGCTCCTTTGGTATAAAGCTGCCTTTGCCTTCCCTCCCAATCACGTCTTTGTCCCCCTGCAGTACATTGAAGAGTCTGGTGTCGGCTACGTGGTGAGCGGCGCTGGAAACTTCCTGGATCCTGACGTCCGTCACTGGAATCATGTTCCCAAAGGTGCCGTGAAGTTCTTCACCGGCCAAGCTTCGACACTGGGAGGCTTCGTCCATGCAGAAGTCACAAAGAACAAGATGTACTTGACCTTCCTGCAGGCTACAGGCACGTCTCTCTATCGCACGGTGCTCTCCCAAAGAGTCTTTGAGTAGACGAGCTCATCAAAGCAATTTCATAAAGTATTAGTCTGCAGTGAGTAAATGCTGTTAATACTCTGTTTTTAAACTTTGGCATTATATTTAAAAGTAATTTGTATTTTAAAGAGAATCTATTTGTTTAACATGTAAAATAATAAATGTGGTTTATAAAGAAGTGTCTTGTCGTCTTAGTCTCATGGAGGCTTCTACCACAGATGGAGATACTTTATTATTCTTGGTAACTGGGTACAAAGTCCTTAACCCGTTGGCCTGTGGAAGTGCTCAGTCGGCCCAAGCATTTGATTCACGGTTGCAGATGTGAGAAAGCAGTTTGTACGGAAACGAGAATTTATGAGGCATGAATTCGGGTCCAAAATGTTAAGACAACTCTTTTGATCAATGAATTCACTTTACTTGTTAATCACACGCTATTGACTTCATTTAAACCAACACACGAGCTGCTTGTCTAAAACGTTCTAGTTACAAGTTATCAATTGGCTGTTTTGTACTTTAGCTAATCTTTATTAATCTAAATGCTGCCTGTACTAATATTTTATCTGGGCCTAGCGTGCTCGCATGGAGTCGTGTCAGAGTATGAACGTACTCTTGTTTGCGGTCTATTCAGTAGCATTGGTCTGACTGGACAAACAGTGGCTGCTTTGTTCTTGGTCGATCGGGTGACTAATATGCCATGAACTTGCAGTTCTGCACTTTTTTGTATACTCTTACTCTGTAGTTATACAATGTGGGGGAAAAAGAATTGTGATGCAAATCCCCAATTGACTGATGCAGACTGGATTGCATGACTTAAACCTTTCCCAATGAGGATTAGTTGTAGTTAACTATGGTTTGCTTTTAGAGAGATGGATACACGGTGAGCAGAATGACTCGTTTTGACGTTGTCCTATTTGATCCGGCTTTTCCTAATTTCCACATGAATTATGGAAAACCGGTACCTGCAGTAAGAGCTGTGTTTTAGAATTCACTTGCATGTGCACATTGTCATTGCATTCATTTGCAAATGTCTAATACTCAAAACCAGGCTTTAAATACATGGGTCATACATTGGTTTCATGCTCGTCATAACGCGCAGAGTTGAAATGCTGACATCGGTTGGTGGCTGCTGCTGGACGGGAGAAGTCCAGGCCTCCACCTGGCCTGCCAACAGAGGATTAGGCTGAATGACTGCAGACAGTGACCCCAACCAGGACAAACTCAACCAACGATATCCTTAAACTGGGAGCAAAGCAGAACGACGAGTTTATATATACATTTGTTTTCTACTTCCTCTTGCTGACTGAATTTATGTAAGTAGGATTTTTGGCTCATCTTTTATTCTCACCACTGCATGTTGGGTAATAGGTTCACAAATCCCTAAACTGATCACAACACGTTATGTCTTATTGTATATAGTTTAATACCATATTTTTTGTCCTTTATCGTGTCTTAACCACAGTCTGGCTTTTATAGGGTTACTGACTCTTCAAGTTGCTGATCCACTTAGGATGAGTTACAATCCGCTGGTGTCATGCGTTGTCAAACGGAGCTGGAACCGAGTCGATGTCAGTAAGAGCTCAGCCGAGGGTAAGCTGTCACCTTAGGATCAAGGACCGGTAAGGATCTCTTAACCCCGGCTGATGTAAACTCACTGCAGAGCAAAAGAGAGCCTCGTGTTTGCGCGTCACGTCAGGCAGACTGATGATCAGACACTCTGTCACCTGCAGGGGCCCTAAGGGGTTTGCAGCAACTAAGAAACCGTTTAAATTAAATGGCAAAAAAATCCTAGACAATCATCCTCTTATTCTGCAGAGCTTTAAAGTGAGTTTTAGCTCCATGTTAAGAAAGCAGTTTAACAGTTATTACATATTTAAATGTGATCTGTGATCATAAAATGTCTAACAATCTGCATTTCCATACATGACATTTCAAAGCAACAAGAGTACCCTTGTATCAATGCCCACATTTTCAAAACAGCTTAACGTCAAACTTAACGAGTCAAACGGAGTCAAACATCGCTGACAAAGAGGAACCAGCTCAAATGTTGAAACTAACCCAGGGAAATATGAAGAACGAGGTATCCTTCATATTTGGAATTGATACTGCCACTAGTGATTGGCTTTTAACCTAACGGGAGCCATGTTCCTTTTATTTAGGTTTTCATGTGTTTGTAACACTTTCAGCTATCAATGTTGAATACCTTGAATTCTGCTGATGCACTTATTCAGCACAACTCTACAATTTGTGCGACCACATTAGCTCTTTGAGAACCCTGCAACCCAAATACCCAGCAGGGCCAGAAGCAACCCTAGAAATTGAATAAAAGTTGTGTTAAGTGTGACACCGATATGGTTAAAGTGAGGAGGGCCTGGAGCCTTCTAGTGTATGACCTCCTTCTTTATTGGCTCCATCTTAAGCTCTAACCCCTCTGCTACACGTGAAGAGCTCCATCTCCCAGAGTTTAGAGCACTAACATCTCCTGCCTGAGGAAATAGGATTAAAAAACCTGTCTTCCATCAAGTCAGAACTGAAGAAGCAATATTTAAATTGTAACACGTTGATTTATGTCTAAAATTAACGCCTATCAGAGATAATAAATTGAATTTGTTGGCTGTCTCTGCATCACCCAGACTGAATCCAATGAATGTCGTCATACAAGCAGAATAATGTTGTGGATTTCAGATTAGGCTGCTGCCGATTATCTAATTCCGCAGCTCAAAAGTCATAAAAGGATGCTGTATTAAAGGCTAAGCTGCTCGTCTAATCTTCTCTCCCTAATCTCCACCCTCACTGAATCACTCTGGGTTTCACAGATGGAGAGAACAATGTGAACTCAATGAGTCCCCCAAAATGATTAAATAAAAAACTATATCATGTTAATACTTTGTTTGTCCAGAGAGAGAGAGACAATAAAGGTGGATTAATTTCCTTTTTAATTATGTGCACAGAGTGGAAATGAGAAATAGATGAAAGTGCTGATTCCGTGCAAGTGTGTGTGTGTGTGTGTGTGTGTGTGTGTGTGTGTGTGTGTGATGCCACAGCCTTTGTGTTCTTTTAATATCCCAGGATTTCTGCATCTCAGTCAATATCTTGCTTAAAATCTGTCTTTTTGAGTTGTGTAACAGTGTGTGTGTGTGTGTGTTTTTTGATGCCAACTAGCAACAGAGAGCTGCACGCTTTCTGCAGTTGCATAAACACACACTGTCATATCTGAACAGTTTGATCGATGTGGCCTGTCCCAATAATACAACTATATTAAGGCCTTCATGTAGAACCTGTGTCACACTCACTTTTACCATTTTAACACCATTCACTACAAATAGACAGATCTTTTGAAAAAAAGGATTTTAATGCTGGATTTATTATGGTTTCTATTACTTTAACGAAATAGATGCGTGTGGACAATCACTCTATTTCTGAGTCTTCTATTTATAATAATTAACTTTAAGCTTACTAGTCAGTGCTTATAAGGGCAGCACACCGTCACGTTAACGCGCTCACCTCCTCTAATTGAATTAACTTTACCCTGTTAGTTAGTAGGCCGATCCTCCTATAAGGGCCAGAAATATATTTAGTATCAGAGTAAGATTGGCGCTAACAATATCGGACGCAAGTATTCACCTTTATTTGACGAAAGAACTCACACGGCTCTCTTCAGGTATTCCTTAATCATGATATTCTGAATATTATGTGTAATGCATTTGAGAATCTCTTAATGAAACAGAGGCGTTTAGATGTGGTTTTGTTCAGCACCTAACATGATAATAAATGTCGGTTATTTGACGTTGCATATGGTCACAAGATGCACACAACTCAACCCCGTCTGAAGTCTGTGCAATGAAGTAAAGACAATTGCAATGGTCGGATCATGACTGATGATCAATCATGATTCTAACTTGGCACAAATCTGTTTGTTTTTGTCTTTTGTCACAAGTGGACGCATCAGTTACTCCGACAGATGTAAATCCACTCATCAAAAGTCTTAATGCGTACTTGCAAGTCTCTGCAGGCCATTCGATGTTGCTGGATTTGTGACACTCACTGGTTTTCATGAGCTCTTTCCCAGGAATTGTTTAAATGTTTCCAAGACCTTTAAAAAATGTGTTTCAAAGATGAAAACAAGGAGCTGAAGACGCTCAACTAAAGAACAGTTTGAATATGTCTTGGATCCTTTGTGTCGCCTCATGCATCACTGTCCTTCGGGATTGGCCGATTGTGGGACGGGCTGTTGACGCTAAGGGAGTTGGGCAAAAAAGAAGGTATGTACGGTATGACGGCCATCAGAGGGCTGGACAGAGGGCCAGACAGTGGGCTCTCGTCTCGGAGAGGTACGGGGATGATGACGTCGTCCTGGCCCCACACGTGGAAGGCATTCGGGTGGGAGTGGCTGAGGGCAGGTGGGATGAGCAGCGGGCTGACTCCCTCCACCTCTCTCTCTTTTTTCAGGTCGTCCTCGTATGGGCCCAGCAAACAGTCTGTGGACGGATAGCAGAGGGGGAGAACTGTATAATCGTATGGAGAATAATGTATTTGCACATCTTTGAAAAAAGAGGCTCACTGTCTTGTTTAGGTGCCAGCACTACTGGAGAGGAGTCCAGCAATATTTGCTCCATCACCAGGAGAAATTACAACATAATGACAACATACTTTCATTTAATAACAAGAAAACTTTATTTAGCTTTTTACTGTATAACCTTCTGAAAAGTGTTTTTCATTTTGAGCACAATACAAGACAAAACAACCAAAAACACCAGATATTAAATTGTAACCCCAAGATTTTAACAGAACATGCAATTAATTTGAAAGAGAATCAATCTCTGATTCAACACGTGTCATGAACTGAGATGAATCAGACGTGATATTTATGAGCAAAACTTAAAATTACATTTGCCGATCCTGTCCCAATGCTGTAAACACAGCCCCGATCTTTAATATATAGCAAATCAAACTAACACCTACATCAACGTTCAAGTAGCAATTAAAAACAATTGACTTGTGCCATCACTAGTTCCGAACTGCATCAACGTATTTGCACACTGTTATGCAGTAAACAGCACAAGAAGACAAACTCATTAAAAAGTAAAAGGGAGTTCTGGTTTACAGCTGATCTTAAATGAACATGAGGCAGCTACTTCTAACGGACTGGAGTACCTGTTATATCCAGCATCAGGTCTTTGATGAGGTGACCCACGATGGCGTAAGCCACAGCAACTACGACCAGAGCAGCCACAAGGAGGTAGAGGACAGATTTAGGGAGCTGGATGACGTCCCTAGAGGGAGGCTTGTACTCCTTGTACAGAGGCTCCAAATTTTGAACCAAGTACTGGAATGAAAGTCCGCCTTCGCTTGTGTTGTTAAAGTTGTCCATATTCCCAGAGTAGAAGCCTCCACTTTCTCCAATGAGTCGAAGTTATTTTATTGTATTCAGAGCAAAAATGTTCCCAATTTGATTCATCCACTTGCTCAGGTGTCGCTCGAGAGACAGAGTCGAAGTCTCCTCCCTAAAAATACAATAAAAAAGTTCATATTCTATCCTTTGACTAACTTTAATATAAGGCAGATGGAAGAGTGAAGCAACTTGACCAACGTGAAAACAGACCAGTGGATCAATTCACCCACCTGTCAAAACCAAGTTATTGCAGCTTCCAGATTAAGCGCATTTGGATCTTTGCAGTGCCGCTTCACATGTTGTGAAACAACGTGTTTCGTGTTTGCATCATGTTGTAATCATCAGTTCATCCTCCACCAGACATCAGGACGGTGTGCTGCGTCCGCTCTGCTGAAATAATCCAGCCTGTGGGCGGTGACACAGAGAAGAGAGAGAGAGAGAGAGAGAGAGAGAGAGAGAGAGAGGAAGGAAGGGAGGGAGGGATTACACTTCCAATCACAGCAACCTTCAATCAGTCCCCCTCATCCCATCCCACACAGATTACTTAATCCACAGTGAGTTTTGCTCCCCCCCATAATGCTCTCTCTCTCTCACACAAGAATAAACTAAATCTTTGTCAAGAAATTCTAAATTGTTTTGACGTCATTGATGAATACACAAAATCCCACAGACTTCCTGACTGGGATAGTTAAATTATTATATTATTAATTATATTATTAAATTAGTCTCATAATCTCATAATCTCTTTGTTCTCGACAAAAGTATTTGTTTTTCTGTCCGCATTCTAAATGTATTGGCGTTGGTTGAACTGGTGAATATATTAGAGGAAAGTAACCTGAGAGCTGGCAATGTTGAAGTAAAGTTACTTATACTTGTATTTCCATGTTCTGCTATTTTGCACCTACCCGATCTAATTTTACATTATCAAACATTTTAAAAGAAAAATAAAACAATATTAGAGTAGCATATTATGGGGCTGCATGGTGAGTTTGTTTTTTTAAATTGCAAGACTGTTAATCTCAATTTGAATTTTTACTCACTTTCTTCCACTGAGTATTTCTACAGGGAGGTGTTGCTGCTAACCAGGTGAGAACATGTCATCATTTTAACCATATGCTGCTGCTTTATACATATAATGTATACAGTCTGTGATTTTAACAGAGTAGAAAAATAAAAACAAGGTAAGCGTTCAAACGAAAACACGGGACTAACGTTAGCATTTAGCTAGCTAGCCAGCTAACCAGCTAGCTAACGCTAGTGAGTGCTGATAGCTTAGATACAAGTTAATGACACACTCAGGAAACAGTTACCGGCTGTCTAATAATTAACGAAACGTGACATTCAAAGCATTTGTTTGCAACATACTACAACTAAACAATTGTAATCATTATGTGGTTTGTAAGTGTGGAGCCATGAGGGTTAACGTGAGCTAAAACCAGTGAACTTCTAAAGCTAAAGGAGTTTCTTAGCTAACGTTAGCTGTAGCTGTAGCTTAGCTAAGTGAGAATAGAGGCATCTCCTTTCAGCTTTTACTAACGTTATATTTTATATCTAAAGACAGGTAACGTCGTCCCTCTTTTCACTGCCGGTATTTGTGCTTTTTTAACAGGTGTGTGTTTGTTTCAATCCACATTTAGCACTGTGAAGTCAAACCAAAATGGAGTTTTTCTTTGACGATGACCTATCGTGTCTGCCCTCTTCACATGGTGATTCACAGAAGATGACCAGTCATCGTATCACACTAGAGACCGAGGAGTCCCAAAATATGGTATTTTTTTTTAGAAGTACAGCAACTAATGAACTTGTGAAAACACAAAATACTACTACTGTGTGAAGAAGTTATTACCTTCTGCTAAGTTGGGGCAACATAATGTGTATGTTTTGTTTCAACCATAAATGCATGACATGATGAATAATAAACCCAAGTTCCCATCTCATTCTTACAAGATTTAAAATACATTTTACGGGGATCTGTGACATCCTACAGTTAATGTTTACTGTCAGCCACTCGGTGATGATGTTAGAGCGTTTCTTCTTTCATTGTCGTTGATACAGACAGAAGACACGGACTCATCGAGAGGGAAGTCCTCCAACAAGAGCATGACTGAGAGTCAAGAGCATACCAGGTACAGCTTTACCTCTACAGTCCAATCCATTCACTGAGGTGATAACTCACATAGGAGCTTCTTCTTCCTGAGCGGGATGAACAGTACTCGACTGGTCCTCCGTGTAAAACACAGTTAGGGTTAAAGCCACATTCAAACTGCATGTATGTCAATATCTGTCGTAGCTCAATAGATGACATCAGCAGAAGACTTCACGAGCTGGTGGAAAGTATAAATGACAGACGCACCACTGACCAGAAAGTGTTGGAGGGCTACCAGAAGAAGTTAGTGGAGAAGGTACAAAAACGTGTGTCCACTGCTGTATACATACTTATTAAATACTCTGTTCACCACTGCCATGTTTGGCCTAAATGCACCGATAATTAAAATTGTGGCGTGACACCTATACTGTGTGTCAATGGACTGATTTAGTTTTCTTCCCTAGGTGACGGAGATGTGTCAGCAGATGCAGGAGCACTTGTACACGATCTATGAAGAGAACAGTAAGGAGATAAATGTGAAGCTGCAGGAGGTGACTCGGGTGCTGGGAAACTGCACGAAGCTGAACAGTGAGCTCGTAGAGGCCAGACAGGCACTGACGAGTCTCAGAGTTTAACACATCAGAACCCCGGTCAACTAGTTATTGTTGTGATGTTTTTCAACTAGTTCTGAATTAGTCAATGGGTTCTTCAGTTTATTGTGTTGAGTATTCAGAATAGTTGACTTTATCACTTTTGATTTCCTCTTTTCCCAAGAATACACGCCAAACTGTGTCTTTGTTGTTGGGGCAGTAGTTCAGTTCACAGCTCTTAATTGCAGTCAAAGAATACAAAAAAAAAAGAGCTGAAAACAGGTTCATATTTGTACAATCTTCAGTTCAATTAATAAAACTAACAAGAACTAAATAAACCCCATTTTTCGTCTCTGTGGTTAACATGTTACACCGAAACTTAAATGCGTCGGCACAGATGACACGGCTCTTCGGACCTCCAGTAACCTATGTAATATGATGAAAAGAAGATCATTTAATTTAAACTGGGCAGGTTTCTAATAAGGTCTCAGCTACACTCACTCATACATTTCCACTCATTCAAAGCCATTTATTTACATATTATCCAATTATCACACTGACTCCAAAATGCCACAACTTTTACATGCACCATGCATAGTCAGTGCCTGAAGTGTATTTCAGACATCTTAACTGTACAGATCACAGCTCGACCCAATGCTTAGTTAGGTTGACCTCACATATTCACCAAAGATGCCAAACAGAGGCTCCTATCACAGGTTTGAAAACATATAAATGTAATGATGTATGTGTATCAAAGCTCATAATGTGAGGTAGATTAAGTGCACTTCATGAGAAACAGATAGCGCAGCACTAATCAAGTCCAAGTCAGCCTTTACTTTTCAACAGTGAAGGACTGCAGTCCGGTGATGGCTCTGCCCAGGATCAAGGCATGAATGTCATGAGTTCCTATAAACAATGAAAAAAACATTATAAATCATTCAGTTGTCGGTAAAAATCACAGTGTTTCTGTGGTATTTTCCAAACCTCACTTAGCCAAATATAGGTACGAGAAGACACATTTTTCGATACAGTAATTTGGCTAAATTAAAACAGGATAGCTTATATGTATTCTTAACCATGTGCTTTGTATGAAGTTGATCAAAAGTGGACATAGAGTTCTGAAATATGTTTCTCTTAATCAACCTGTAGTAATCTATGCACTGCTGCCCTCTACATAATGGCTGTTTAAATGTGAAATCATTTTCACTGCCATAATGCCTTCTGTCAGTCTTTATGCTAACAGTGAAAACCAGACGCACCCACTGGTGTGTGCCTACCCTCGTACGTGTTGACGGCCTCCAGGTTCATGACGTGCCGGATTACGTGGTACTCATCTGAGATGCCATTTCCTCCCAGCATGTCTCTGGCTTGTCTGGCAATATCCAAAGCCTTGCCACAGCTATTCCTCTTTAGCATGGAGATCATGTCTGGTGCGGCTCTATTCGGAGAAAATCAAACGCATTTAAGAAGGAATGTTTTTAGTAGAAGAGAGGGACAGAAATTTAAAGACAGACAGAGAAGACTCACTTCTTCTCATCAATAAGTCTTCCCAAGGCCAGACATGACTGCAGCCCGAGGGTGATCTCTGTCAGCATGTCAGCCATTTTCTTCTGCATCAGCTGGTTCCTGGCCAGTGGCACCCCAAACTGGATTCTGATTGGAGGTTAGAAAGAAACGAAAACCAATCCCTCTCTGAGATAATGTGGATATACACAGTGTGGTTAACACTTCTCTCACTGGAGTTGGATTCTGTTATGTCTGTGAGATCGCCTGAGCTTAACTTCAGAGAGCACACATACTGTAGACAGAACGTCATGTACCTGTCCAGAGTGTACTGTCGGGCAGTGTGGAAGCAGAATTCAGCAGCTCCCAGAGCTCCCCATGCAATGCCATACCGGGCGCTGTTCAGACAGCCGAAGGGACCCTGGTAGAAAAGGTCAACAACAAAAGAAACGTTAGATTTAGGGGACGTCTAGTAGGTTTTGATGGAGCTGAACCTGAACTAAGAGGGCAGCAACGTACAGCTAGACCGGAGACGTTGGGCAGCAGGTTCTCCTGGGGAACTTCCACTTCATCCATCAGGATCATGCCAGTGGCGGACGCCCTCAGCGAGAACTTGCCCTCAATTGTGGGGGTGGAAAAACCCTTCATTCCACGCTCCAAGATGAAACCCCGCACTTTGCCATCTTCGCACTTGGCCCACACCACTGCAATGTCTGCCACGGGGGAATTTGTGATCCTAAAAGAGGAAGGAGAGTGAGGAACAAGAAACACATTAATTGCATGATTACACATCGAAGTATTTCACTTCAAGGGCTTGGCGCTTGGTACAGTCCAAATGATTATTTAAAGGTCAAATTTTGCAGTTGTGACTGACCTAAAATGCCAGTCTATCACTGAGCTACACTATTAGAGAGGAGCAGGCTTTGTCAACTCGGGTGAACTACATATGTTAGGATTATTAGTCAAAGTTATCTTCCTTTAAACTACTTTCTGAGTCAACAGAGAAGACACTGCATCTTGTACGTGTCTGTCTACCTACCAGGTCTTGGCTCCACTGATGGAGAAGGTACCACTGGATGGGTTGGATTTGGCCTTGGTCTCCATACCGCTGGGATCACTGCCGTGGTTGGGCTCCGTCAAGCCAAAGCAGCCCACGATTTCTCCACGAGCTGTGAGACAAATGACAACATGATGGACAGTCTAAAGACCGGCCTTTGGCATTTTTTTTACAATGTCATGTACAACTGCAGAAAATGTCGCCCTCACCAAGCCGGGGCAGGTACTTCTCCTTCTGGGCCTCAGTGCCATAAGCATTGATAGGGTGCATGACCAGTGAAGACTGGACACTCATGACGGACCGATACCCGCTGTCCACTCTCTCAACCTCTCTGGCAATCAAGCCGTACGCCACATAACTAGTGCCGGCACAGCCGTAGCCTGCAGGGTAAAGAAAACAGTGTGAAGTGATCCTCACCCCAACATAAAGAAAACACATGTAAAGGCACATTGAGAAACACTGCAGAAGAAAGATACTCTTACTCATATAATAATAATAATAAAGTCGTATTCTTTCTGTTTACCTTTAATAGTTGGGCCTAAGACGCCCAAATCTCCCATCTCTGAGACAATCTCACGGTGGAAATCTGTGGCACGGTGCATGTTGGGAAAATAGAAACTGACAGTTAAATATTAATGAGAACATAAAACATTTTTGGACACTTAAACTAACCGAACAGCTGCAACTCGAGCAGTGAGTAAAAAGCCAAAACCTGACTTTGCAAAGATATTAAAACAGTAAGTTCATGTTCTCTGAGCTCGACAGACGTTAGTCCGATGTGGACATCTTTAAACTTGACATAAACATTCTAAATGAGACCTTTTTGTGTTTCCTGCTGCAATGTTTGTTAATTCAGTAGCTGACAGGAAGTAAACTGAATGGCAAAGAAAAGTTCCATAGACATGTTTCCTGCTGTGATCACGGTGTGTACTTTGCTTACGTTCATGTCTGTTGGCCATGAGGATGCGGGGCATGAGCTTTTCCTGGCAGTAGTCGCGGAAGGAGTCCCGGATCATGATCTCTTCCTCCGTCAGCTGACCCTCCAGATTCAGAGCGTCCCGCCAGTTGAACAGCACCTTGGCTGAGGGTCAAAACATGTACACAGACACATGCAGTGGTTATGTCACTGTGGCATGTGACAGACGAGTGTGTGAAGGCATCTGAACAGGCCGGGTTCAACTCATTAAAAGTTCACTTACGTGCCTTGGCAGGCTTTTTGATTTCTTCAGCATCTAAAAAGAAGAAAAATGTAGAAAAATGTAAACAACTTATATCCATGTTCACCTCCTGTCGGTTCCTTTGTCCTTCTTGTAAAAAAGTGAAGTTTGTTTCCTTCATCAATGGTGATATTTCCCTGAAGACAGTACTTTACCATTTTTTGCCTAAATATTCAAAGAATTAATAAAGAAATTGAAATGTACCTTTGACGGCCGTAGCAGCAGTGCCCTGAGCTCTGGACACAGAGACAGCAGCACATTGCTGGCTGTTGGTGAGCAGACGGGTGACAGCACCTCTGAGAGCCATGTGGTTACTGAAGAAAGAGAAAAGGGAGATAAAACTTAATTTAAAGTTGTATTATTTAAGTAGGTTTACTGACATGTTTTGGCCACTAAATCCCAGGCAGTGCACAAATAAGTTCAACAAATCAAAGATAGTAAACGTCTTTAAAGTTCAAGGTGAAGTGAACAGTGCAAATAAAGAGGCACCAGTGTATTGTAGTATTATTGCAGAGATATATATATATATATATATATATATATGTGTCTTTGGGTGAAGCACATTCACCGTTAATATTACATTGTTATGCAACAAAGTTGTAAATTGAGCTGCCAGATCAGTGAAAATCAGGTAAGTTTGTCAAAATATAAAATATATTGCGCTACAATTTCCGTAATTAGCTACAGTTCTTTTTATTTGGCTCACAAACACACTTTTAGCGTTTGAGCATTATTATTATTATAATCACTCCATGCAGGACTTAAGTTAGTGGTTTGATTATATTACTATTTAAACTGTCTAATGTTAAGACACTCATCAGAACACAATAGCACGATGTCCCTTTGAGAGCAACGTTCAAATACACTAAATCCTAAATCGACTCCTCCGAGCAACATGACAGCATTCAGTGCGGTTCTAGTCTAAGGAGACTTGGTCTACGGTACCTCGTTTCCTTCCTTTATCTGATGATCTGAAGACTTGACGCGGTGAGGAGAGGCTACAGAAAGTTACTTAAGTAATATCTCGCCGGTCGCTACGTCACAGGGATACGTAACGTCAGACATGGGCTCTCTCTCCGTCCATGACAGGTGAGGCAGAAACACTGGAGGCAATGCACGCGACCTATAGTTGTGCAACGTATAGAAGTTATGCAACCAGCGCTGCTGGACTGTCTGTCAGAGTGGATACATGATGATATGGAGTTCACGCGGGGAGTTTGTCTGTTGGGAATGTCTGATACTCTTCCTGTCTCGTGCACAGCGAACTTTGAGCTGTAGTAGGCGAGTGGATTTAATTCCCGACGTCTTTCCACACTCAAAATGGCGCATATGGATGTCCGTGTGGAGGCTGTCGGCCCACGCCCTCCCAGCTCATTGGCTGGTAAAACAAGGAGCCTGCATGTCACACTGTGTATGTCTCCAACTTGTATAAGTGACTCTGCTGCTGATAGTGGAGTCAGCTGACAAAAGGCCAATACATCCATATCAATAGTGCTGACCTGATGTTGGGTTCGGGGTGTTTACCCGCGGGGTGCTAGTATAGTGAGGAACATGTCATGTTGGAAAGAAAAGGACCAAAGGGAAATATAATAAAAGCGACTGAGACCAAATGTTATGAAATTGTTATGACCACCAGCCTTCATTTTAAGCTTGGTAACATGCACGCCTTTCAAGTGTCTGTTTGACTTCCTGACTTCAGATGCCTAAAATGACCTCACGATTTTCTTAAGGAACTTGATAACATTTCATACCTTTTAAATTATTACTGGCACACCTGACACCTTTGTGGCCAGAGGTGTGGCAGAGCCGTCACCTGTCTGCCACAGTTCACCATCCAGCCAGTTATTTAAACTACAAAGGGCCAGTCTCTCCTACATGTTCCACAGTTTAGCTTCTCTGCTCGTGAAACCTATTGATTACTCTCTGAGTGGTGGAGCCTATAGGCTGCTGTGGTGGAAGACCATCATATCCTTAAGTTAATGTAACAATACAACAATATACAAACTGCAAAAATATAATATATATGCAAAAATGTCTTATTCTTTAATTCCCGTGCGATCCGAATTTTAGGGTGTTTTTTTGAATACTTTATATACTTCTGTGTGATTGAATCTATAACAATGAATCTCATGGTATACACTGATCACACAGAAACACGTTGGCAGAGTGAGTGAATCTATCTGTCAAAGTATAAAGTGCAGTGAAAATACTTAACAGACAAAAAGCTCTTAATTGTACTTAAATACAGCAGTTGAGTAATGTATGTAACTTCTGCTGTGCTCTTTTATTTGGGACTACTTTCTCTCACACAAGCACGTGCATAGGGTTAAAAAAAGAACGTAATAAATAACACTCTCTGATTTGTATTTAATGTTAATCGTAGAAAGGAAATCGGTCATTTTAAACGTCTTTCTAAACGCTTTACATTCCATCGGAGTAGCGGAAAGCCAAATGGTTTTGTTCCGCTCAGACGCACTCTGATTGGCTGTGGCAGCTGTCAGTCACCGGCCTCTGCTCTCCGATTGGCTGCCTCTCCTCTCCGTTAGCTTGGAATGCGCCGTGCTTCAGTGTGGTTTGGGATGGTCTCTCTCTCTCTCTCTCTCTCTCTCTCTCTGTTATTGACGCTTTTTTCCTCGACACTTCTATGGTGACTGTCCCGTCTAACGTCTGATCAGCAGCGAGGAGCCGAGCAGCGAGTGAGAATGGAGCTGGAGGAGAAAAACCCGGACCCTAAATACGGTAACTGCAGGTTTATGTCACCGTTTTTTCTCCTCGATCTTTGATTTCCACTTAACGGGCGAAGAAATGGAAACAATGACTGCGAGGGGATGGATGGGTGTGGACCTCATGCAGATCTGGAGTCGTCCTCATCCTCCACAGCCGCGTTGTTTTTCAGAGGAGTTCTCATCTTTAATCTCAGAAAATTCGCATTGAACTTGCCTTTAATTTTTCATTTGACAATACACAGTGAATGAAAGCAACATGCTGCACATTGGGTGGTTGTATTTGACTAGTTTGCCCTGTTTTAACAGCCTGTGCTGCAAAGCTTCCAATGAAACCACCTCACCCTGGTTGCTTATTGTTGGTATATGACTTAATGTTACTGAACAGAACCAACAGGCTGATAAGGGAAAGCCGGCTGCTACAGTATATATTCTAACCAGGCTTGTCTTGATGGGCTCTGATTAAATTAGCTTCATATTCTGCACTGCAGGAACACACCCTCAGGCCGGCTTTACTGCTTCCTCCTGCGCTTAAAAACATTTTCTGTTTTGTGTATTGACATATGCTCATTTATTTCACTGAATATCAACAGTGTCAAAACAGACACTGATACTGTCACAAACGTATATGCACTTCTCATGTTCATTGATTTTGTTCACTGCCTTTTTTGTGCATGTACATATTGTGGAACATTTCATCCTCCATAGCAGCCAAAGACATGACTCATTGGCCATTAGTATGTGTCACACATGCGTTTTCTCAACTTAGCAGCCCACAGCAGCCTGACGCGCTCTTCTTGTGTCTGGGCTGGGCTGTTGTTCACACGGACTGTTGAGTCATGAAGTTGTGGTAACCAGTGTTGATCTTGCTTTAATGCCCCTTGTGAGTGTTGTTACATGAGAGGGTGGCCACAGCTCCAAAGCAAACCGCAGCCTTCACACTGGAATTTAATTGGGAAGACGACACTAACGCTGTCTGATTATTGAGTTATTCCTTCTTTCACAACGTAAGATGTTCCCAACAGCCCACGCCCGAATGTTAAGCGCACGTCCTCTCCAGTCGATCCACGGAGCTCCCACTGTGGAGCATATCTTTTTCACCACATCGACTCTTTTCTCTCGGCTCTCCTCCCCCGTGAAGGCTCAAAGGACAAACACAACGGCCCTTTTAAAGAAGAGATAAAGGCACCATACACATTCCAGCTCGCCGGTAGTCTTAAACAGCAGTTTTTATTAGCACAGTTGGACTTGTGAGCGTTCCCTGGTTGCCTACAGTTGCTCCTGCGTTGGCCCTCGGTGTGCATGCAGGCAGGCAGGCTGCAGCCTGCAATGACTGTGTTCAGCCTTGCCTGCTCGACCCAACTCAGCAGACACAGTCAAGAGGCTTCCAGTCAATAATGAGCTGGCACACACTCGGAGGCATTAACACACACACTGCATGTACACACACATATGCATGAGCACACGCAGAGACACTCCTGCTAGATGTTTCACAGTGATCGCTTCTCATTTGGACCGTTTGTTTGGAGAAATCAGACAAACTGTTGCTGTTAGAGAGAGAGAGAGAGAGAGAGAGAGAGAGAGAGAGAGAGAACTTGTCTCCACAAAAAGAGACTTTAATGCGTTTCCTCCTTGTAAGAGTACGTAGGCCAAAGACCTCATTAGTAGTTGACAAAGATGAGTTTTTTGAAGCAGTAACAGCTGCTGGATGCAGCAGTAAAACAGTAGTTTCTGTGAATCACATAAGTCAACCAACTCCATCTACAGGCTCTATAGGAAGAACAAAGAGTTGCCCACTCTGGCCCTCAGGCCTTCTTAAGAGCAACAATCAACAGTTTCGTTGATGTTGAACAAGGCCTGAGGGCCGCAACGTCGTCACAATACCCAATGCCCATCTTTCGGCGCAGGCTGACAACTCACCTCTTCAAAAAGGCCTACCCTGAGCCTTCCGCTTAGCACTTACTTAGCATCTATTGTATTCATACTAGCTTATTGCACTTATTGTTTTTATATTAGTTTGTGGCACTTATTGCATTTGTTTGCTTCTGCACTGTACGTCGGCTCTGGTTTATGCTCTTAGATGCTTGTTTGAGGAAAGGAGATGCACTTATGACTTCTGGTTACTAGTTGTTCTCTCGAAAACCGATGTTGAATACACTTATTGTAAGTCGCTTTGGATAAAAGCGTCTGCTAAATGACTGTAATGTAATGTAATGTAATGTAATACAGAGGTGCATTTGCAGCCAGAGTGAGCCACACGTCCAGTGATTAGCACCTCATCACAACAGCATCACGGTGTGCGTTCATTTTTGAGTATTCTAACTGGGAAGATAAAATTGTCAGGAATATGTACTCATAATGTCTCCTTGCATGTACAGTCAGCACGCACACACTCACACACACACACTCACACGCACGCAACCACAGGAGCCACTAACCCATTAAGGTAGCCAGGGAAGGGTTCATATGATAACCCCTCTGGGCCCATTAGTGAATCACACCAGTCATGACATCATCACTTCCTTTAACACACACACACACACACACACACACACACACACACACACACACACA